TTCAGTCATCAGATACAAATTCTAAGTTTTCTAACTGATTTACAATTGTATTGTGATTTCTCGTCCAATATAAATCGCACTTCTCTCATGTTTAAAGAATATTATCGAGAGAGAAATAGAAAGAAAGAGAGAGGGAGTGGGGCGTATAGTGTGTATTTGTGTGCGCGCGTTGTATATTGTGTGTCGGGGTAAAAGGGATAGAGGGAGAGAGAGAGAGAGAAAGAGAGAGAGAGAGAGAAAGGAATTACGTCACTTTGGGGAATCAAAAGGGGTTCTTCAAATGTCAAAATGAATATACCTTGGCTAGAGTGTTGTACCGAAGCGTCAATTCATACACTTTGACTTTTATAATACAAGAAGCCATACGCGTGAAAATACATAGTTTTTTTAATATATAATTGTCATTTCATTTCACTTACGATTCATGAATCTCATTTCGATTTGAACAATTTGATTGCATTGTGGTTAATCCAAGTGGTATAATCCACACTGATCCACACGAGGTGAAACTGGCATTTCCTTTTATAACGACAAGAAAAAGGATTAGACCCAGCTTTTTTAATGGGCAAATTTTTAATTGAAATAAAAATTGGAAGTACCGAGCCTCATTGTAGTCCAAATACGATTCTGATGCAATACGCTAGCGTGGAGGGGGCACACATTTTCCGATTTTTTTTTTTACCGTCGCCTCACGATGCAGTTTCAAAACGAAAGAATGGTTATCCCAATAGTTGTTATGAAAATGTTCTTTCTTTCTATCTTTAGGATGATGTTGATGTATTTTTAGATGTGGAATTACCATTGTTAACATTCTGGATTATTTGTAAAATCATGAAAACAATGAAAAACACGGATGTTACGGTTGTGTTGTAGACTATGTTGCAGCTGAAGTTGCGAGAGGGCGACATGAAGTTGAACTGTGATATGTTTAGTGTCTGCGTGGGTGCGTACGAGTATATATGTGTGTGCGTGTGAGTGTGCGTGTGTGTGACGATATATTCATTACTATGAATAATTCCCGTACATAGGGAACTCTTCCCCTTTTACACACTCACATACGCACGCACAACCTTACAATTCCATTCTTCACTCTACTCGCAACTTCTTTTGTAACAAAATCAACATCACAACTGAAAAAATGAATCAGGTTTGCGATGTTACACTTTTACCTATGAATGGTCCCCCCTTCATACACACACACACACATACACACACACGCACACACGCACACACCACACAAGCGCTGACACTAACAACCCACAGTCCGACATCATTTCCCACTCTCGCAACTTCAGCTGTAACAAAGTCTACAATCACAACTAAAAGATTTTATATATATTTGTTTTTCGTTGTTGGGGGGGGGGGGGTTGTTTTCATAATTTGTATTATATTTCACCTGTCATAAACAAAAAATGAAACACAGCTTCATATTTCATGCAAAGTTACAAATAAATGTTCACATGAATAACATTACAGAAAATGAATTAAATTTACAGTACGGTACCTTAAGCTATCCATTCCCGTACACAGCATACTTCCCCTCGAAAACACCAATATAAACACACATAAATTCACCATCCCTCCTTTCACCCTTACCAACTTAAGTTGTAAAAATATCTTCATCACAACTGAAAGATCAATTAAGTTTACGATGTTATAGATGACTGGTTGCCTCACACATCAAAACTTACTGCACCCCCTCACTCACGCACACACACACACACACACACACGCACACACACACAACAGCTTCAGAATCTCACATCATTTTACCCTACTCGCCAATTCAGTTTTAAGACAATCTGCATTACAGTTGAAAGCGAATCGTTTCGATGTTGTACTAAATTAGATGTCTCCCACACACACAAAGCCTTACACCCACAACCTCATATCCTATAACATGTCACTTGTAAAAAAGAGTCCACATTGCAACTGTAAGATGAATTTAGAGTACATTATGATAATCCAATTGTACAACTAATACAATTTGATTGTGGTTCCCGCATACTTTGACCTTATCCTACAACACGCACACCCACACAAACGCGCACACTTCCATACCCGTCATTATTTATGCATAATCTCACAATGCCACGATATTTTACCCCGCTGAGAACTACACGTGCGTTATAAAACCCAATGAGTTATTAAGCTTCAGACTAATAACTTGATACACCTGACTACGCAATGGATTAATACAAACTCATTATTTTTCAGTTTTTTCATGCCTTTCATGGGAACGTATCACCAAGGAGTTTGAATACACCATCAGAAAGGGTAAACAAAAACTAATATCGCCGTCCATATTATGTTTTTTTAATATACTCAATAACTGCTGTCTTCTTTTGATCATGTTCATTGTCCCCTCTATTCAATATTTTATCTTTTGTCATTACACAAAACTATCTAATTTCATCTTGTTTGTTAATCAACGTTGTAGGTTTTATTGACTATGATCGTAACTTCGATCAGGCGTGGGCAAGGGACAACCTCGAGCCCAGCTCGACCTTTCTGTAAACCCTTTGAATCAAGCTAAGGAGATCTTGTAGAGCATGGCACTGCAATACAAAAGTCATCATACCGTGTTCGTTGTAATTCACGCTTTGTGCAACGCGAGGTCATAAACTTGACGCTGTATTTGCATTGTCATTCGTTGAAAGGAAACGCCATTGTTTAGAAAGAGCAGGAGAAAGAGAGAATGAGAGAAGGGGAAGAAAACATAGTTTGATATTTTAAATATTGTATCCATAACGATGATCATGCATAACTGATCAACGATGATATCGAATTTATGTGGAGTTGCCCTGGTATATGGTTTGTTCGCCCGTTTTCAACTAAGAGGATGGGTACTCAGCGTTATCATATTTTGTCCATTTGTTACTCTCAACCTCCTGTAAATGAGAACTTGATAATTATGCTGGAACGCCAAATACAATCTCTATGAAATGTAATGATAATGATGAAAAAGGAATTTGTTGATGATTATGATTATGAGATAATGATAATGATAATAATAATAATACCAACAACAACAATAATTATAACAATAAAAATAATGACAGAAATATTGATAATAATAATAATATAACTATTATAATTAACCCGCTTATGGCAGAGGGCCCACATGTTTTAGTTAGCGTTATAAATCATTATTTCTTGAGGGGGTCTGCAATTATTATTAACCACCATTGCCAATTACCACATTTATGAATAAACTGCCAGCAGCCGTCGATATTTTCTTACAAGAGACATAATTAATATACAAAAAAAATGTATTAAGCACAGTATTCGTTACGATTGTATGAAAATCTTACATCTTTGATGAAATCATGTAAAAAAAAATTTTTTTCCTTCAACACGTTACTTCATTTAAAGGTAGATATCAATATTCCCATTTTAAAAGGACGAGAAAGTTGACTTTCAAAATGGAAAGAAAAAACACATAACATTTTTAATAATGATATCCGAAAGAAATTATTCTGTTAACGCTGTGGGTTTCTTTTTTCTTTCTATTTTAATGTAATGATTGTGGTGGCTTCTTATATAGCGCACATGTCCGTCACATCATGACCCTTCTGCCGCTCCACCTGTATTACCCCGGTCATAGCTGGCAGCCAAGTAGAGCGCTTTGGCATATCGGGTTCCCATTTACACCTATGTGGACAGTGGCAAAAGTGTAATAATGTCTTGCCAATGGAAGTTAGTGCCGAGATGGGATTCGAACCCTCAACCCTTGGATTAAGAGTCAAGTGAATGAACTTCTCCTTTACGACACCTTATATTCTTATTTTACATTAATATTGATTGCAATCCTTAACCGTCCCACTATATCTATTACCCCTTCTCTTATACCATATATTTGTTCTTATTTTGATCGACAGGTTGTCTGAGTGCTAAACAGACGATAGCCAGTAACACCTGCCGACGCTGGTACCAGACTCCACCCACCCATCGGTAGTGCATCACTCCCTATCAGAGCCGCGATGCATATTCATCCCTCGTGCTGGTCATGTGTGGAGCACCCGTTTGTATATCCCCAAACATTGTCATGGCGACTAGATAGACAATTCCTAATTGAACACGCATGGTCGTCCCTATCCGAGAAAGACGTAGCTCCAGACGATATAATGAGTTCATCGAATCGTTGCGTTAGCTTATGAGATTACTGAAAAATTATTTCGAAAGGTCGAAAACTATAAACTAACTATAGTGTAGTACTCTTACTCTACAGTATCTGGTGCCCCCCCCCCTCCCCTCCCACACACACAGAAAAAAATGAACTCGAAACCTCATGAAGATATGCGTCTCCTCGTGTGTACGTATCGATGAACGGTTTGATTGACGTATTGGTTGACGGAGAGGAGAATTGGCGGATGAGTCAGGGAGCTGAACTAACGTGTTTCTGCAATGCTGAAAAAATACACAGTGATCGACTAGATTTGATAAAATCTCATCCGTCGCATCAACAACACAATTTAAATGTATCATTATGTATAGCTTCATCGTGCCTGTGACAAGCAAGATGGCAAGGATTCGTTATTCAAATGAGACCAAGAGCCATTAAGAGTCACGAAAAGGTGAATCTGTAACAATAGGAAAAGGCATTTCGAATGGAGAAAAAAATAGTAGGGGAGAGAAGATTGGAGATTCTCCTTGATTGAGGCAATCATTCCAGAAAGAGACGTGGTGAGATTCGATTTGCAATTGCACATAAAGGAAAGTAAAGGTTGCCCTGTACTCTCGCGAAAATACCGTAGGTTAATTGGTATAGATCGGGAGTGCTTGTAAACGACGATATCGCAGTGACCCCGCTCCAGATATGCCGTTAGCTCACGGACCTTATCAAATTGGTAGGAATTATGTTTGATCAGCATTGAATTAATGATATTAAAATCTCCTTTTGGTAAATTAGTTGAAAGCGTAATTATATTGACACTTCGTGGTATGTGTGTGCACGTGTGCAGATGGAGATCACCTGATAAGGAAGACGTGTGGTGCAAACCTCATCAACGAGATGAAAAAAGGGAACATTAGCAAACGGCATCATACAGCTTTCACCACATGTACTCATCTTTCTTATCATATCTTGCTCAAAAGGAGATTTCAAATATTTGACTTTGCTGAACACCGAATCATCTCTCAAATTGACACGAATCATACGTCATGGTGGCCTAAACGGTTGACATCTACGAATATCAACACATCGATAGTTTGTGAAATTTCTTTCGCGGGATTAAAATGAGAACAGAAATAATTGGCTATACAAGTTTGACCTTTCTACTGAAGAGAAGAGCTGCTCGAATGTTCAAGGTAACAGAATATGGTTTGTGAATATTTTATGACATTGCCCGACAAGAGAAGGAAGCGGTTTTTGAACATTCGGGTAGAAAAAAAAAACACATCAACAAAATGAATTATGAGCAGTGCGTGCACTTTATTATAAATTTATGACATTAAAAGCTCTCAACGTGACAGAGGTACCAAATATGTAGTCGCCAATTGAGTCAAAGCTTTTACCAAAAAAAAAAACACCAGCCGAGGTATAACTTGATGAGGCCAGACAGGTAACCTGAGGGTGTACACATTTAACGATGGAGGCATATACATGGTGTCTTGTTGTTCTCCTCTGCGTAGTCGCTGTCGTTGGGATTCCCGGTAATATCCTCGTCATGCTCATCTACCAGCGCAAAGCGCGGCGGTTGAGCATGAACGTTTACATCAGCGGTCTCGCTGCGGTTGATCTCTTCGTTTGCGGTCTGACCGCATATCGGCTTTACTCTTGGATTAACGAGAAACAGTTCCACAACAACACGGTGTGTCAGCTATTCACGTGGATTGGCTTCTGGAGCGAAATGATGACCGCGTTTATGACAACGGCTATCGCGCTTGACCGCTACGTTTCTGTTTGTAAACCGCATGCTGCGATCATAACCCCTATGCGCGCTATGATCTCCATTGGTTTTTGTACCGTAATCAGCGGCCTACTTAGTTTATTTTCGTTCCTGATCTACGGCGTGGACCCCGCGAGCCATGAGTGCATGATTATGGAAAGTGGGGCTCTTTTGTACTCGTTTGCTGCCATGACTTTCAGTGCGTTTGCCGTGCTTATGGTATCAGCGTTAATCTTCTACTGGCTAATGTTTCGAGAGGTTAGAAAACGGACAAAAAAGGTAGGACCGAGATTTCTTCATGTCAAACCCCGAAACGAGTCGAGTACACCGAGACCAGAACCGACGATTGTACGGTCTCGGTCCGTTCCCTGCTCGCCGACGCATTGCCGCGGCAAAGCTCGCAGCAAATGGAATCAAGCCCATCGGCTCATGATTTCCAATCAACTAGAACAAAGAATGACGCTTGTCAGCCTTGCTACGTCTTTTCAGACAGGGCAATTACAGTCATCACCCATAGGTATCGAAACCGTTTCAATCCGTCAGAATACCTTCTTAACCGCTGATATCCAAACCTGGGACGTCGGACTACCGCGCCATAGTAGCACCAGCGGTCTCGACTTGTCCTCAGATATGCGGTCACGCGCCAGTAGCAGCGTACACAACTTTGGCAGTCACATCGCTTTGTCGTCGACGACCTGCCAAAGCAGAGAGACTAACGCGGTCAAAGCCAATAACCAACCGGCGTTGCGACGTCGGCGCACCGGTAAAATGCTGCTTCTTGCCACTGTGGTTTTTGTGATCACCTGGACGGCGCGGTGTATCATGTGGCTCATTGAGTTTCAGGCTGTGGAATGGTGGCATGATATTCGGCAAAATAATGACTTCGTCTTCGCCGTGCTTATCGTTCTACAGCATATCTACTACACGACACCGGCTGTTAACCCGATCATATACAGCTATGTTAATCCAAGATTCAGAGAGGACTGTGCCAAGGTTGTAAACAGACTTTGTAGGAGAAGAGAGGTGTTATAACCATGGATTAACCTCGGTTAGGAGGAGGCCACCATCCTAGTATCCCGGCCACAGGAACCAGAACATCAATATTCTTCTCCTAACTGTAAAGTACTTGTTAATTTCAAATGCAACCTTCCCCATTTTGCGTCTAAATTATATTTAATGTAATTTAGGGAAAGCATTTTCATTGATTTTTTTTGCATTTTGTGAAGTTTATTTTTAAAAGAAGAATACGCCTTATACTTGATCAATCGTTTTTGCGAGTATTGAACTAGCTTATTTTAACAGAGGCGTAGTTTATGGTGGTAAATGCCCCTCCATCCCTCCCCATCTCATGGCAAAAAAGAGAAGAAAAGGAGAGGAAGAAAGAAAGGTGGAAGTAACATTAAAAGAAGAAAATAGAGCCCCTCCAAACCTTGAAACAAGTGGTCTCTTTAATCTACCTAGTTGAATTTATGCGCCCCCCCCCCCCCACAATTCCTTGTCTATGCCGAAAGCCCGAGATCCCTTCCCATGCCCCTTACCCTGAAGAGTTTCACCGATCCTAGCCTCACAGCCTAAAAATATAACTTCCCTGAAGTATCAGTAAGGTAAACAATATTTCTTGAGATTATTTTCGAAATGCAGCTTAAATCGCGAGTAAAAATTCAATCATATATGTTCATTTTTGTTCGAATAGATTTATTCGAGACTGTAAATACTGTTTTTTATTGCTGAGCAGTCTGAGCTAAAGCGCCAAAACCATCACCACAGGATTGGTATGTTTAGCAATAGTATATTTTTGCATGCAGACATGACTAGCTTCAAAGTGTTTAGTACAGTGTATAAAGAGTTTTATGTGTTATGTAAAAATGTCAACGATGACTGTATTATTGTAGCAAATGTGTGTATATAATGCCATGTTTTATATGTATTTTACAGCGATAAAATACTAATGCCTCACCATGTCTTTCAAAAATATGTCTTTCATCTTCATCAAAATGTTTCTGCCTCATTTCTTATATGTAATCATCATCTGTAAATGTCTTTAAATCAAAACTGAAAACACATATTTTTAATTAACTGTATATCTAAGCAAATCAGGAGCTCTTGTAGCGCAGTAGAATATAAACTTAATGTTGGATAGTTTCTGCACTCTATAAATGTATTATCATTATCATTTCTGAAATAGTCTTAAAGTTGAAATAGCCTACGTTTGCTGCAAATCGACATGGAGATACGTATGCTGCAGATCTGAAGGTAAAATATTGGTAAAATGTCGATGAATCATCGATAGAATTACGGTTAAGTGTCGGTAAAACATCGGTATAATATCGGCGTTGTATATTGCTAGTATCCATTCATAAAGGGTGAGTATTTGTTAAACATTTATACTGATATTTTATTCTGGTTTGTTAACTTCTGTATGTGCCCGCCGTCGTCCATTTTTCCGTCCTTGTAATCTGTCTTTTGCAATATCCCATCAACCCTTTTGGACTGAACTCGAACTTGAGAAATATGCCCATTATTATCAATCGTAGATCATTGGAGCAAATAGGTGAAAAGTATATGACATGGTTTTCATATTATGTTCTTTGCAATAACCATAGAGCTTTGGATCAAATTTAGTGTATCAATACAAGCAATATGTGTATTGAATTCGTTTTAGATTCCATAGTTACATGAAATGTAAAGATGCTTATTGATCACTCGTCAATGGGTCGCTTTGATTTAGAAAGTAAAAATATCAATTAATGATCATGCTTGTATGAAAGAATTTATTTATTTATGCGAGTTGCAGTTGGGCAATAAATTACGACCTAAGAAAGAAACGGAATATTAGTATTGTTAACACCCATTTTAACGTTTCGAATTCAATGCGAAACACATCCATACTGCTCGCAAAACATATTTTATCATCTATCACTAGTATCTGAACTTGAGAAGACCTTTAGCACAATCAACGATGATAATTTTGCTTGTAAATACCTATCAAGCACTAATACCCACATACATAATTTATGACAAGTTATGCACAGTTTAACCGCTGCTAGTTTCATTTGAAGATCATTGAAGTTGAAGTCTTTCCATGCGGTTGCATTGTAAAACTAGGGACTGTTAGATTTGCACGACGAGAACGTGGACTGCCCCGTTTGACATCCTTTTAAAGGTGAAATTCAAAGAAGAACACAAATATGTCAACTACTGTATCACTAGAAACTGGTAAGCTAACGGATGGCCATCGGACAAGTTTTAGGTCAACTACATATCGGGTGATTTATAAAAAGACAAATACAACCACCTCTATAGCAGCTGTGATATACGAGAGATTCGCCGGAAAAATAACGACGTTTTAATGACGTCACTATATGGACCAACACTGCCCAAGCAGACGACATCCCATTAAGAATGAACATAATTGCAAAGCTATTATTTCTCAAATTATAATGAGTTTAGTGTATATAAATGTAATGGCATGTCAAACCATTTAAAAGGGAATATGACCCGATTCTGATAACTAAAATCTTTTGCTTGTAAATACACAGGATAGGGGTTAATTAACAATCAAAGAAACCAGACTTTCAAATTGAAAAGCCCCGGAATGATATTAAGGACGGCATTTGTTCTCTCCTGAAACGCCGAACATACCCCGGTGTGTGCAGCTTAATATACAATGGCGTCTTATTTTGTTTACAAGCGACAGATTCCTTTATTTTTGTATCGCTGCATTTGTCATCAAAATAAAACCATGCGCGGGGTTTAGAGTGAGGCAATAGATTCTACATTTAGCCTGACGGTAGTGAAGTAAGAGAAAGAACTCAAGAGAAGATGAAAATACAGGCACTCAAAATGTGTGAGATGTCATGGGACATCGTCTGCTTGTGCAAGTCGTGTCCATACTGTGATCTCACACGTCTCAGCAGCGTTCGGAGAGCTCTTCAGGTGCTATGCCGGGGCTGTATTTAAGCGGTTTTTAATTTATGATAATCATTACGTCGAATTTTTCCAAGCATTGAATGTTGATAACCTTGACGAATCAAAGTTTCAACTTTGCAATCATGAAAATAAAGTTAGTTTTTAAAATCAATGAATATCTACTTTAAGGCAATGTGATGTCCTTTAAGGCACTGGCAGTGCCTGACAGTGCCTTAAAAGGAGGTCACACATAGCAGTTCATGTTCTCGTCGTGGAAATCTAAAAGTCCCTACTCTTTAGAAGTTATCAGGCGTGGAATCATCAAGAATTATAACAATTTACTCCATCTTAAACTAAAAGAGCAGTTGTTGCATTCGTACCAGAACAAATGTAAGGTTCATTACGTCAACTACTTCAAATGATAAAACCCATTTGTTGTATTTTATTCTCATTATAATGATTTCATGTTTCCTTCATTAGTTTCACCTTTGCGGTGCAGAGGCCGTTTTGACGTCATCAACTTTTTCATGTACAGCGCCTTTAGTGTACAAAAAAAAAAACCCTCATAATTTGCATTTCTTATGTAAAATTAAAAGCCGCGGGAGAAATGTATACTCTCAAGCACTGAAATGATATAATAGAGAAATTAAATTTCCGTTTATATTGTGTGCATTTTGATATAAATTGGTAGGATTTTGTACCAATTGCAAAAGTGGTTTTGTGTCTCCTCGAATTATTTGTTAACCAATCTATTTTGTAGGTAGCTATCTCAGTAAGAAAAGAAAGTGATTAATAGACAGTTGCGAATGTCGAAAGCAATTATTTATATAGATTGCAAATGCAACGTCTATTGTGTTTGTGTGAACAATAGAAATTGAAAGAGGATATGATCAATGAGAATTCTTTCGCTTCGAATGCTTTAGGAGATTATGAATTGCTCTTGGGTGTGAGGTTGCCAGGGGTTACTCTCGAAAAGGGTGGAGAGGGAGGAGGGCGAGGAGGAGGACGAGGAGGAGGGAGGATTGGTGCTGATGATGATGATGGTGGTGATGGTGATACTGATAGCGGTGACGATGATGATGGTGATGAAACAAATAGTGATGGCGTTGATGATGAAGATGATGATGATGATGAAGATATTAATGATGGCGATGATGTTGGTGATGATGGTAAGGGGAGTATTTACAATGGTGTGATTACGACGCTGATGGTGATGATTAAGGTGGTGGTGGTGATGATGTTCATGATGATGAAGGGAATGATTATGATGATGATGATAAAAATAATGACGATGATAACGATTACGATGACAAAGATGATGATGATGATGATAATGGTGATGATGATAACGATTACGATGATAAAGATGATTATGATAATAAAGATAATGAAGATGATGATGATGATGATGATGATGATGATGATGATGATGAAGATGATGATAAGATGATGACAATGATAACGATAAAGATGTTGATGACGTCCGATGATGATGCATGCGCAAGTAAAACCGCAATAGAAATGACGCTTTTTGCAGACGCTTTTCGCAAAGGACATAATATATCAAGAATAATTTATAATCACTTCATAAGCATAATGGTGTTTAACAATGTCTAGATTATGAAAAATAATGAACTGAAAAGTCGTATTGTTAGAAAACGTTGCATATCGTAATGAAAAGCGCCTTTTATATAAGTGCGCCTTTTATATAAGTGCACTGTTCTGAAACGCAATCAAGATAATGATTTTTTTTTTTTTTTTGGAGTCCCAAAAAAAATCGCAACGACTCAGCCAGCCGAAAAGTCGCTCAGTGGGGGGGGGGGGGGGGGGGGGGGGGGGGGGGTAGTGATGAGCACAATTTTTTGTTTTTGGTCCTCGAAAATTTGAAAATTTGCACCCCCCCCCCCCCCCTTGAGCGCCAGGGGGGGGGGGGGGCCCAACCCCCCAAAAAGGTAAAAATCGCGTGATTTTGCATGATTTTTTTCTCAAGAGGGTTGGGGGGGCCGGGCCCCCCGGGCCCCCCCGCCCCCTGGATCCGCCACTGCTTGACTTTGTATTGTTTTAGTTTATTAGCAAAATAATTATGTTAAGTATAAGAAAAGATATGTTGAGAATAAATAAACTATTTTGATATCATATTATTATATTATTATCATTATTATAATCATAATCAATACCAGAACCGTGTCATCAATCGTCGCCATCAACATGATCATCATCAACATAATATTTGTGGGGCTTTCCATTTATTCAAAGATTGGGAATTGGTTTGCAGATCATAAGCGAATCTCTACGTACGTACAAGAAAACAAAGTCATCATTATCATCATTACTAGCATCTTCCTCCTCCTCAACATCGTATTCATTATTATTGATATCATAATGTAATGCTCTGAATTTCTACGAGCGCTCAACCTTTTGGCATATCTTTCGTACGCCACTACATGTGAACAAGCTTTTTTTCGTAATGTAACCAAATTTAATGCATACGTCTTTGTGAAGTGCCTCGACTATTTGATTAATCCGTTACGAATAATTGTCTTTCAATAATCAGAATGCGAATTGCATACACATGTTGTTGCTAGGTATGACAAACAAAAAGGCTTGCGCTACCTAACAACATGTAATATATTCAATTT